CCCAAGCTCCTGCCCCTCCAAGTGGGCAAGGGCGGTCACCTACACGCAAGGAGCTTGTTGAGTGACCAGTTCTCGGCCATTGTTTTTCATCAATGCTTTTGCAGGACAAATTGCGTGAGGCTGCTCGGTCTCAACTCAACCGCATGACGGCGGCCAAGAAGAAGCGCAAATCGATGGAGGCAGCGGAGTGGATCAAACAGGAGTGGGGTAAAAACAAGGGCATGATGATCGAGATGTTGCTTGAGAACAACTTTGACAAAGAAACTCAACATCACAAGGTCACAAACAAGGTTGTCTCATCGGAGCTGCAGATGTGAGAAGTGCGCATGGAAATGGTGATTTGAATTTTATACTCTAGCTGAGGAAAAAATTGTCGCAAAATTGGAGACGGTTATCAAATTGAAGCAGGTGTACCAGGTAGTGCTGGACCAGGGCTGGTATTCGGAGAGGGAGATGAAAGAAGAACTCCATTGGGACAAGAGCCTTTACTCAACTTTTTTGCACAATCCTGTGGGTTCGTCCTTCGTACTTTGGAGCTGGGTTCTTGTTTGTTTATGGTTGGCCGAGGGCAAGGATTGAGGGAGCTAAGCTTGAATGCTCCAAAGATCCTGAGAATTTGATCCGGTGCCTCAACTTTTATAATCTGACCCCTGTGTGCTGTGGTTTGGTCTTGATTGAGTCCAGCCATTTAAGGACCAACCAGTACGATAAACAACTGGAGTATTACGTCACGGTGTGCGAGACCGCCCAGAAGAAGGAGAAACACACCAGCGAAGAAATTCGGTCCAAGGTTGAGCAGGTGAGGCATGCAATAGGAACACACACAAGCGTGCAAGTCCTGTGGTAGCTTTGTGTTCCCACCCTAAACTCAATCAGGTGGATGAGTCCCAGGGACCGAAGATCAAGGAGAAGGCTTTCCAGAAAGTGCTGGATATGCAATTGAGGCCTGACATCGTGGACAGGGCTCCTCAGCACTACCATGCCAATCAGGCACGGACATGGACTGCCTTCCATACGCAACATGTTGAGAGTAGATTTGCTCCAGATTGTGCAAAAGTATTCTTTCTCTCTGATCCACGTGTTGCCCCCTGCAGCATCAAGAGCAGCTTCGCAAATTCATGGAGTCCGTTTTGTCCAAAACGAACAAGCTCCGGTCTCTTCGCAATGAGCTCTCCAAATCCTTTGACGACGCAGCGGCTACAGCGTCCGGTTCTGAATGCAAGTTTGGAACCATTGGTGACTTTCCAGGTTTGCGAGTTCTTGGTGATCAAGTTTCCGTTGTTTTTGTCAGCTAAGTTCCGTGGAAAGCTTGGGCAAGCACATCCAGGCCTTGGAAACCAAGCATGAACAATTCACTGAGCTCATCATGGGTGACGGGGAGCTCCATGGATTTGAGCGGAAACCGTTTCTTGTTTGCAATCCTTTCCATGTTGGTGCATGCCACAGGCGTTGCCTAGATGCGGAAACTTGTTAAAGTTTTGGGACAAATGCGAGAAAGCCATGAGAGAAGCGACCGTAACGCTACGGCCTCAGCCAGCATATGCGTGTGATTTTGCTTAAGATTGGTTGTCTCTTGTAAGAATCGAGGGATGTAGCATCGCTCCTTTACTGAGGTGCTCCAAAGCCATCTCAGCGCAGGAGAAAGTCAAGTTTGGGGCCTTCCATTGTTGTTTGGTCTTTTTATGTATGCACAGGATGTTGTGAACCGTAGATTGGCAATATATAGTTTAGAGCTCCCCAGGTCTGAAAAGAAGTTTTACACGAAGAAGTCTGGGAATCGAGAGTCTGAGAACAAGAAAAGGCGTCGTGAATCTGAGCCAGAGAAACTAGAGAAGGGTTCAGCCAAAGCTGCGGCCAAAAGGGCTGCAAAGGCAAAGAAGTAATTTTGATTTTGATATGATTTGCGTGATTTGTCCATGAACATGCTTGAGCCAAGTGTGTTGAAGGACATGCATTGTTAGGGACCAATGTTTGAGACTATTTGGTTGGAGGGAGTGACCCTTGCCAATATCGGCGGTCCAGGTTAAGCCAACCGTTTAGTGTCAGCAGAGCCTGGGAAGCTACCCAAGAACCCGGGGCAAAAGAACACATTTTCAGCGAGCGATACTTGTGCGGTCTGCTACGCCGCCATCGTGCACAACCTAAGACTATATAGTTTTTTGTTTTTCAGATTCTGCCAGGTCCTGGGCAAACGTTGCGATCTTTGTCCAAACAGACTGGCGATGGAGTTTCTTGGTTGTACTTTCTTGGCCTGATAATGCTTCTCCCCCCAGGTATGCAGGCAAGTGTCATTGTGCCTCGCCTCAGCTTTCTTGCCTACTGACTGAGGCTCCTTGCACAGACGCGATCAGAACTGCACAAAGCATCGTAGCAGATGTGGCAGCTCTGGGTGACGGTCAGGCTATGGACTTGCTGTCCGAAAATGGGATAGGCGCTTTGGCTAGTTGCCGTCTCCATCACTCGGAGCATGATCTGCACAAGGTCATTCGAGACTTTGACTTGGAGTTGCCTATCCCCCTCTACAAAGTTCCGGGCCAAGATTTTGAAGCACTGCGCATTCGTGATTGGATTAGCTTGATCCTGCGGAAGGACTTGTGGCATACATTGTCCGGTCTGGACAAACCCGATCCTGAAAGATGTCGCAGAATCTGGCGCGATTTTTGGTGCAAGTACCGCCAGCAGAATGGAGGGCACCCAATTTTTGAGATGGAGGCCAAGGGTTTGATCAAGCTGGAGAACAGCGCAGCCTGTTTGTTTCATGGCGATGAAGGCCGTGGAAAAAAGAAGAAACCATACTTTGTGATGAGTATGTTCTCCATCATGGGCAAAGGCACCCGGGCATCGCAGCGATGTCAAGAAGAGCGCTACCTGTCGCAACGCCTGAACTATGGCGGTCACACATTCTTGAGTCGCATGTTAGTTGGTTGCCTCCCCAAGTCCATGTACAAGAAGGATGAGTCAGCCTTGCGAGGTTTACTTAGCTTTGCTGGAAGTGAGGCAAAGCACATGGCTGTTGAAGGGGCGACAAATCCACGAGGTGAACGGTTCTGGCTGGTCACCGTTGGATGTACTGGCGATTGGCCTTTTTTATACAAAGCAGGCTTTCTCAAAAGAAGCTTCTATTCGGGGCCAAAGCAGTCTACAGATGGGGATGGGGATGATTTCAGAGGTTCGACAAAGAACAAAGAGCCTTCAGGAATTTGTCATCTCTGCCTGGCAGACCAATCTGGTTTTCCATATGAAGAAATGGGGCGCGTGTCTCCGAATTGGCTTCGAACCATGAACCTTGTCTCCCCGTTTGCATCACCTCCAGAGTTGCTCCAGGTACCACACAATCCGAGCAGGTCTTCAGAATTTTTCTGCATAGATCCATGGCATTCCTGGCACCTTGGATTGGGCAAGAATTTCTTGGGCAGTGCACTTGTGCTGGCCAATGCTCATTTCGAAGGCTCAACGATTCCCCTACGTTTTGAGGCCATGAGTGAGCATTACTTGGCTTGGTGTAAACGACACCGTCAGCAACCATACTTGACCAAGATTGCAAAAGAGACATGTCATTGGGATGCTAGCTGGCCTTGTGGTGGATGGAACAAGGGCAGTGTGACCACTGTGGTGTGTGCCTGGTTGATTGCATTCTGTGAGGAGTTCATGGAGTCAGTTCAGCGGGATGAATTGATGCTTTTGACTTACCAGGCAGCTAAGCACATTCATTCGGCAATGGAGGCTTTGTACCGTGAAGACTTGTGGATCCGTGACTCTAAGGCCCGAGAGATAGGACAGGACGGAATTGAATTTTTATTCAAATACACTGTCTTGGCCAAAAAGGCATTTGATAGCGGCAAGCGCCTGTTTGCACTTATGCCCAAAGAGCATATGTTAGACCATATATTCCTCACCAGTTTGTACCTGCCTTCCCGCACACAGTCCCATGTATTAAATCCGATGGCTCATGGCTGTCAAATGTCCGAAGATTTTATCGGACGACCCTCATGGGTCGCGCGGCGGGTATCCAGCAGACTTCAGGTTAAGAGGGTGATTGAGAGATATCTCCGCTCCGTCTATTTTCATTGGAAAGAGGCCGGGTACATTGATTGAGGTGTTGAAGGGTGTTTGAGATGTCACAGTGTGTTGTTGAACGAAATCGCATATGCCCTTTTCATTATCATCATCGATGCTTCTATAATTGGTCCCCAGTACGGACTAGAACACCCAAAGGCCTCCCAAATCTTGGTTGCTTGGATCACAACATGCTGAAGGAGGACGAAAAGGCACGGTGGCTGGGTTGGTGTGGGAGTGGTACAAACCTCAAATATGTAAAACCAGGTTTTCCATGTCAAAACCTGGTTATTCTTGCATACCTTACTTTTTGTAGGATTTTGGATCTCCAGGTAGGTATAAAACACAAGCCTTCTAGCAGCCTTCTTCAGCCTCTCCAGTTCGTTTCTTGGATCGGTACCGGTGTTTGACCCGTTCAAATCTGGTTATGCCATTCTCCACGGGTTCGGCAGGGCACGGTGGTAGATCCACGGGCGAGACCAGGTTTCAGCTGCTGAGCTGTTGAGGAGTGAATCTAGTTGATATGAGGATAGGAATTCCTGATCTGAGACGACCAACCGGCTCACCAATGGCTTCAGTGCTGAACATGACACATCTAGGCCATCCAACAACCATTGAGTCCTGCCCTTCCCAACCCATGAACAAGGAGACCCTGGTCCCAGTCCCTTGGAGGATGCTGGTGATGATCAGCCTATAGAGATAGTGGAACCCTTGGATCCCTTGGGCAGGCTTGGACATCGACCACCCCACACCGAACCTTGACCCCATCATACCCCATGACCCCATCGACATGCGCTGAGAAACCGGGGACCAGAAAAGGGACACCCCGGGACATCGGTCGATGTGAAGATCAAGAACTTGGTCCACTCAACTCGACTCAACGTCTTCCAGCGATTGTTCATTCAAGAACCACACCCGGAGAACCTGGTTTATCGCCAGGTGGCCCAGATAGTTTTCCGCCGTCTCCTTCATCTTGGTCAAAACCATCGAGGAGACCTCCTCAGGCGCCATGACCTTCTCTTCGCCCTTCACCTTCACGCTAATCCTCGGCTGTTTTCACCCAAGCTCTGTCGTTGTGGTTCGGTGCGACGGGTGCGGGGTTCCTAGCAGGACAGACATGTCGACCAGCAGGTCGAGTCGACCAGCGCGGGTGTCTCAACATGGGGAGGCTTCGGTGGGCTGGCCACTACTTGGACGTTCATATTACGAGTGGAGGGCTGGCCACTACTTACTTTGAGACGGGTGCGTGTTCCATAAGAACCCTTGATTGAATACCAAACAACAAGTATATCATGCAAGGGATACAACAATCTAATCTAGGTGAGAGAGAGAGACATGTCGCATTGATAGCTGGCGATCAAGGGGTCACACTGGGCTAGAGTCTAGCAACACTGCCGAAGAACGGATTTCGATCAGCTGCGTTGACCGCTGAAGACGTCCTGGACCCGACTTCCAAAGATTATCCATTCTATAGGCACCAACTCGTCTGCCTTTCAGTACACTGGGACACGGTATATCATTGTGTTCGTTTCTCCAGTACGTCTGACCTTGAAATAGAGCATCTCTAGCTGTGGATCCACGGCACAAATCATCGGTGCCAAACATGGGTCGACCGGTCGTGGGGGGCGCAAGCCACGTCTCGCGTGGTCGGCCGGATGCGGCCCCGCCAAGACCCCGACCGTCCACCGGGTCAGCCGGCCGATCGGACGGACGCAGGAGCGAATCTCAATTACGGAAATGGCGGAATTTGGTTTGGCCAATTTGGGTCTTTTTTTTTGGCTATATAGGACTTAAGGAACTCTAGGGAACTGAAGACTCTTAAGATAGACCGGTAAACTATAGAGGAGTGAGAGGGTTGGGGTGTGACAGGACCTCTCTTTCCAATAGAGGTCGACCGACAAAATCAACAAGTCAATGGTCTTAGGTCACTGGATGTCACTGGACCTGGAGTAGTCTTTCTGATGGACAATCCCTCCAATCCATCTTGCGCAAAATGCATGTCTTTGGCCCAAACACATCGGCTTGCTTGCTTTGTCGACAATCGCATAGGGCAAAAGCTTGATGTCCTGCCAGCGGATTAGGTCATGTCGTGGATCTGCTCAAAGGATATCTGGAACCCCAAAATAAAGCATGTCTTTGAGGACGCCCTATAGGCCCAGAGGGATCCAGTCGTACCGAACCTCAGGTACGGTGAAGGTACGGATCCTGTTAGGTGCCACCTGGCAGGTCGTACGACTGGATCCGACGGTCGGATGCTTGGACCCGAGGCGCCGGGCGTCTCCGGTGGACCAATGGCAGAGGATGCTGACGACACAAAACACGGGACAAGCCGAAGAGGTCAGGTGATTCAAGGGCAATGACTTCAACGCTTTGGGGGCCAAAAAATGAACAGAAGCAGCATGATTCCAAGTGGGTTTATATGGTGTTGATGGCTGGAAAAAAAAAAGACACGTTGACATATGTTGACATCTAAATTGTTCACTTCGCCGTTTCCGTGGAATCTCATCAGCTTCATGTTCACGCACGCTTCCGCCATGCTTCCTGGTAGCACCGTTGTGTCTCGGATGTCTCGGAGATCGAACCGTGTCGGTGTTCGCTCGCTGTCGGGCGACGTCGGGCGACGGTGACGGACTTGGGCGTGCTCGGCGACGGAATGCCCTCGACCCGGTCGAAAGGGCGAAGAAACGACCGTTTGAGCCCAGAAAGGCTGCAGGTCTTTGTGAAACCCACACAGAGTGCTCGTCACGCCACGGTGCGTAGCGAACGCCTCGTGACACGTCCACACCCAAGCGGCAAACCAAACTTCAGCACCCCCAAGACCCAGGATCGCACAGGTCACCGTCGACGGTGACCTCACCTTGATCCACATTCTGAGAAGGTGATTCGAGATTTGGTTGTGAGAAGGTTTTGGAGGTTCTGTTCCACTCATTCCAAACAGGTGGATCCGTCCTTCTGCACCGTGGAGTCCTTGAAGCGTCGCCCAATCAAGCGCTTCACATCGAAGAGGGTCCTCGGCGACCCGACTGACCCTAGGGCTCATGTCCTACCTCCGTCTCGAAGATGGTTGGGTGGGTGTGCCCCTGAGGATAAGGTTGGAACCATAACCATAGGGCTATATAGTGCTATATACCTGGAACATCTAGGTGTTCCTTTTTTTTGTGGTTGGTTGAAACTCAGTTTTATTTGGTCGTTTCTCTCAAGAGTTGTCGGGAATGGTTTGGTGTGTCCGCCCCTCCTTTGCTGCCTTTTGTTCCTGCTCAAGTGCACGGCTCTGGTCGGCGTTGATGCCGTAGATGCTGGGGCGCCAAGTCGTCAACATGGGGTGGTATTTGCCACAAACAAGGTTCTTAGATGTTCTTAGTGTTCTTAGTAGGCCATAGCAAGTGCAAAAGCTCATGAACAGAACGGTCACTTCTTTGGCGTCCCCTGTCCATGGATCTTTCTTTGCTTACGATACCGATCGTAAACCATCTTCGCCTTTACAAGATACAATTCTAAAGTTCTCTTGCTTGGGATCCTTGGACTGACTCTTCTAGAGAGGCGGGATATGCGCCCGATGGTGTCCTCGTTGCCTTCACAGGCAAAGCATAGAGGTGAAATTACATATGCAGAGGTAGCTGACTCCAGATCAACAAGCAAATCCCGTTTTGTATGGCACATTCCATGGAACTTGGACTTCATAGAGAAGCCACAAAAAGAGTACCCGTACAACGAATGGAATGCCAACTTGTTGTAGCAGTTCAGCGCGGTGTGAAGCTCTTGGTGAAGACGTGCCCCACACTCCTTGTGCAAGAAAATGCCGTGTGTGTACAAAATTCCGTGAAATTTCTCCACTGCGGCAGCACCCTCTTGAATGGCCGCCAAAACATGTTTGTGATCTTCAGCAAGTGGATTGAGAAGTAGGCCTGCCACAAAGACCCGAAGCCAGGCCACTACCAGAACTATGTCAGAGCCCTTTGCGTTCATCCAGGGGTAGTCTGTAGACTTGGTACGGTTGAAGAAAATTGGGGTGAAACTATGTAGTGCTGGATACCTCTTCGATGTATCGCAGTAAAGCCTGAAGTGGTGATAGGCTCGCTCTAGCAGAACATCAATTTTGTTGCTGATTCCAGACCCACGCGTCTTCGTTTCATGAAAATACTTCAAGTGGCACAGGAGGAGGATGGCTGAAGCAGTGAAATCACGCAGAACACCAAGCTTGAAATTGTGGAATACATCGCGTCTGAGAATCATCTCAGGTTTGGGGTTCTGGTTGTCCACATTGAAAGGAATGCTTTCCCAAGGTGGAGGAAAGGACCAGGGTCTCTGCGAATAGATTGTTTCCTCCCAGGCTGGATGGTGAGAGATCGTCTCGAAAGGCAGCGTGGGAACGCCGGCTAAACACTCATGACACATGTGAGCGTCCAACTTCAATTGCCGATTGAAGCATCGATCCAGTGAAGCAATCTTCTCATACCATTTGAGGTCCCCCTTGAACCCCAACAGGGCCCCGAACCACCGCCCAGACTGTGTGGCAACACCCTTCTCAAACAACTCTTTGAAGTCTTCGGTGAGTCGAATGAAGATCAGGTTGAGCAAGTTCTTGTCTTTGCTCAAGCGGTTGGGAAGGACAACCAACACAAATCGAGTCAGGTACGAGTGCAACTTGTAGTTTGTTTGCATGTGTGTAGGGCAGTCATCGCTAGAGACACTGGTCGAACATTCCCTGAAGCCAGAGGCGAGCCGACACCGCTTTGCAGATTTCTCGCTCAAACAGCAATCTTCGCAGGCCCTGGATTGCCTTTTGGACGATGATTGGAAACTGTCCAGTCCCAAGACTCTGCCACCAGCTCCAACAGGGTAGGGTTCAAGGCCATCGCACGGACTGATGCAACACCAGTGGCATCTTTGGTAAGCCAGCGTGTGACATGCGGGTTCTCTTGGTCATGCATCCGCTGTCGAAGTGCCGGCTGCTGCTCCAAAAGAGTAGCAAGAGTGCCCTTGCCCAGGCGCGGATCTTCCCACACATTTGGTAGAGGCTGGGATTCGGGAGACAGCACTGGAGCGACCGACATGAACCCAACAGAAACTAGACAGGAAGTACAGAGCCCAAAAGTATTCTTTGATTGAAGTTTCTCAGACACAAACACTGGAGAGCATGCAGCATGGCACAGTACTGCATCAACTCTACTCTCTCTACTCGACCAGGTTTTTTGATTGAAGCATGCAAAGAAACGTCAGAAGGGGCACAAAATCTCATCACCGATGGCCAGGCCATGCGCTGACCGGCGCCGGATAGCTCCAAGCTTTGAAAAGGAGGTCAAAAGATGTCAAAAGAGTCTTGATGTGATGATCACTTGTGAGAGTGTGTACCATCAACACTTGAAGTTGTGCAACCAGTGAAGTAGACCTCCTGGGTTGGCCTGGTGACATGATGTCACTCTCTTGATCGATCAACGATATGATAAAAGATGAAAAGGCTGGCCGCGCAAACCTTTGTCCACACAAAGATATTGCTGGACGGCAGAGATAACCATGGTTCATTCAGCCTTGGAGAAATGGAAAAAAAAACTGAAATCTCGAGAAACGCCGCCAAGCAAAAATATTAGTTCCTGATCTGAAAAAGCAGTTTTGCTTGAAACAACTGAAAAAAGTAAGCATTAGGAGGTTGCAGGTATAGAACATGGATGAAAACGGGACAATATACCTGGATCCTCCTTTGGGCGGAAAAAAGTGCCGGACCTCAATCCGGCAAAATTTTCCGCCGGATTCCGAAAAAAACGCCGGAGACCTGAAAAAACATCCGGATCCAAGATTCTGAAAAACAGAGATGATAAAAGGTTGGATCATACACAAGCAAACTGCCTTTGCGCCACGAGTAGTTTTTCTGGAACACACTCATTCCACAACTCAGCACTGGAGCCTTCCCGTTCCCATAGCCCTCGCCCATCTTCCAAATGGCCTAAGAACAGAGCCATCACAAAATATAAGCAAACTTGTGCCCAAGCAAAGACTTCCAAGAAGAAACCAAGGAGTATGTGGCAAGGAGCCCCTATTTCTCTGCAACCGTGTCTCTAAAGTTCTTTTTTACAAAGTGGCTCTCCATGATTCTTATGGTTTTTTATGGTGTTTGCAAGCTTGCCTCAGGACGGCCCCGCCAATAAAGTAGCAGAACTCATGGATCCGGTCGAAACTCTTAGTTGAAAAACTTTTCAAAATTCAAAAAAAAAGACTGAGCCCCCAAAAAATACGCCGGAGTTACGGGAAATTACGCCGGAGTTACGGGAAATTACGCCGGAGTTACGACGTGAATTTTTTGAAAGCAACTCCCCGCAAACCATTGAGATTCTGAACAACACTGCACATGTTCCACAGCCCAAAACTTGTCCGGCAGGCTCTGCAAACCTGTGCAACTAGAACTAATTATATCCCAGCGCCGGGAGTACATTTTTGCCTGTTTTTTCAGCTTAGGTACACCCACTTGGGTCTTTCAACACGTGCATCGCACTGTACCAATTTCATCCAATTTCATTTAGAAGATCACCTAAACGGATCTGATTGATCCAGTGTGACCCATGCTGAAACCGGTGGAATGAGAAAACAGCGGAACAGGCAAACGAGCACACTTTGCAAGCAAATCATTACCTTCAAAGAAATGCAAGCCACAAAGAATGCAAAGCCTTGAGAATCCACATTTCAAGTGACTTGGAAAAGCTGCCGGACCAAATCCAGAAAAACGCCGGATTTGGAAGTCCGGCCCCGGACCCTGTAAAAGTGCCGGACTGAAGGTATATGACCCGAACAAAACCACGTAACGACAGTGACATGCACAAAATCCGTGCAGGCTTCCGATTCAGTGGATTTAGTTTCTCTATACTATATATAATGGTCATCAGTCCACGAATCGTCCACGAATAGCCCCCGGGTTCCAGGAAACACAGCCCGAGCCTTCCAATTTGCTTGAACAAATAAACCCTTGATCCTTCGATCCTTCCGCTTGCCTCATGGTCGACCTCCCAGCACAACACCCATTCCCTCACTCACATCCCGCGTCAGCGACATCTCACCGGACATCTCAACGGGCCACTGTGTGGGGTTGATGGTCGCCTGATTCTTTGCAGCTTCTCCAATGAGCCGCTCATCGTCGGTAAAGGCCACCTAGAGCTACGTGGGAATCAGGTCCCACGTCCCTGTTCATACTTGGAGTCGACCTGTTCGTAGCTGAAGGGCACACCAGTAATTCCATGTTGGGGTGCCGAACGTGGAGGAGAGGGGTGCCCCTGTCACATCCACTGACTGGATGGAACTAAACACCTGAACCCGACTTGGACGTGCTGGTAGGGACTTGTTTTTTGTTCGGGTGATGACCCATTTTCTAGGGTACTTTGAGAACCAAGGCAGGCATGACTGGGGCACCATGTTCGGAGCTATGAACGGAGGGTCCCACCGGTACCGAATAGCATGTGGTCAGTCGATAGATGTCTGGCTCCAGTTGGTACCCCAAAGGAGGTGACACGAGTCTACCAACAAAACAGTAGTTATGTACCAAACTGGGTACAAAGAAGCGTACTTATGAGTCATATATGAGTCATATATGAGTGTATATATCCATTTGTGCTTTGGTTTTTGTAAACGGGAGGGTTCACTCCATGGGACTCTTACACTATGCCATACATGTTGGGCCATCTAAAACACCTCGTTAGGGGAAAGCCAGAGCACCTCACGAAAGCACTTTCTGAAACACCACGAACACCCCAAACACACAGACTTTCAGAAAACAAGAACACACACACGGGTCGCCAAGGGCGGGGTCGCCAAGGGCGGGGTCGCCACCAAGGTACGTAGGAGGGTGTGATGCGGTTGCCCTGATCGTTCGGAATGATTTCCACCCGGCCATTCTTGTAGATGCCCACGCAGCCTGGGGCGGCTTCTGTCTCGGTTTCCCGGACGGACCGACCGATGGTTTTCAAGGTCACATGACCGAGGCGCCTGACTCCGACACAGTGTGTGTGCGTGTCCTTTCTTTCTTTTTTTATTTGGGGTGTGGGTCGGTCTCCAGTCGACCATTGTCAGAGTGAAAGATGGGGGAATCTGGTCTTGGATGTCTTGGATAGGAGTCAGAATACATGAACAAATAGACTTAAATAAACCATTGTCATTGTCTTACCATGTCTTCTTGTTGTGCGTGAGTGAGGGTGGATTTGTCTGCTTTTGCTATCAGGGCCATCAGGGCCATGTCGATGCCTACCTTGCGGCGTGGCATTGGACGTGTATTCCGGTGATGGATTTGGCGGGTTGATGTCGATGGCCACGCTCTCCCAACGAGTGATTCGATTCGGTTTACGGTCACGTTCAAAAGCCCAAGAATACCGGCAGAAAGCCCCTAGGGACTGAAGCAATCCATGTCATCCATGGAACCATGGAACCGTGCGCTGCGGTTGTGTCCAACCAGGCGACCTATCCCATTTCGGGTTGTGGTACCTCCTGTTTGGAAGGTCAAACGGAGGTGAGGTGAGTACGTTGCTTCCAGAGACAGGTGGTTGCCTGGAGCCAAAGGACGTGCAATTCGCTTGATCCTGGACCCTTAGTGGAGACCTTTTGCACGCAAAAGGTGCTCAGGCCAAAAGCGGACAAAAGTGGATCCATCTGCGATCGACTATATAACAAGCCTCTGGGCCTCTGGGAAGATGAAGCAGGAACATCGAGAAACAATACATGAAGCTGTGGGAGCAACTTAAGAACTCCCAAGGAATCCAAGAACATTTTATACTTTGCCTACATGCCAGGAACCTTCAGTTCGTGACCGTCCTTGAGATCCCAGAACTTTGGTCACTTAATGTCACTATACATTGGTCCCCAAAGAGGTGACATCTGCAGAGACTCTAAAAGAGGTCACAAACAGCTCAGGACCTGGCGGGTGATTGATTATGATCTGTATACTATATATTACAGTATAATGTTATCCTTCTTCTTCTTCTGATCAGAGTAGTTTTAGATGTTCTTCTGATATGACTTAGCTCTTGGTGTTCCTTCTTTCAGAAAACCCTCCCTCCGAACCAAACTCAACTCCACTCCCACTCCCACGCCCCGGTCTAACGTCGAGTCCGCCGAGTCCACGACTCTGCGGCGTTCCGTCAACGACTCTGTCGGGGAACTGTAGGTGGTGCCAAGGTCAATGCCGATGACTGGACCGTCGATCCTGGGAGGTTCGTCGCTTCGTCGCTTCGTTTTGGCTCCGCCGGTCTGACGGACGGTCCGAAGGTCACGAGTCATCGGTCCATACCATGTACACCATGGGGGTGCGAGATGGTCCAGTTGGTGGGACCACCCTGGAGGTACCTGGACCTGAAAGGGCAAGGGTCGAGATCCACAGGTAGTGTATGTAGAGTAGTGCAGCCATTCCAGCTAGGAGACTTGGAAGGTGGTGGTATGTAAAAATACGTACGAAACATGTAACAACAGGTTATTGGATCCATGGAAAGTACCTCTTCAGGGGTGTTTGAAAAAATGCACCCGACCTGGGTGGTGCTGAACCTGGTACCATGCGTATTCAAATACCTATCATACGATGTCAAACATGTTAAACATTGACCCTGGCCCTAGATCTACAGATCACCTCCAATCAATCGGATACATCCTCCAGTCCCATGGATCCATTGGGCTCTGAGACGCCCCCGAGGACGCCGCTGAAAAAAAACAAAAGAACAACCACTGGTCCACTTCCGACCCCCACGGGTTCGACGGAAGAAGTGGCGGGCTTCGACATATCCCCTTTGAACATGGGAGTCGACCAGGTCGTGCCCTGTGAACAGCAAGCCGTCGCCGTCGCCCCGTGTGGCCGTGGGTGCCCGAAGGTCTGGACCCACCGGACACGACCGGACACACACCAGCGGTTTGTGGTCAAAAACACGGTCGTTCCCACTGATATGGGAGTCTTTGTGCGACACGGTGAATCGAACCCAACCGGTTCCGTGATGTCGACATGACCCGAAAGAAAGGAACGAACGGGCCTATTTCAAGACACAACACATGGTGTATCACATCCAACTAAATCATACTAAATCCAATGACACACCATTCCCATGCATTCCATACTGCCAGTTTGAGAATTGCTCCAGCCTGTCCATGGACAACATCCATGCTAAGATGAACTCGTCCTCTTCTTGCGGGGCTGGCGTCTTCTTCTCCTCCTCTTTGGCCGATGCGCTGCAAAGCAAGGCCTGAGAAGCTTCAAACTCTTGGAGTAGCAGGTACAGGAATCTACTGCAGCCCAGCCCAGTGGTTCCCCTATTGGCACGGTAGCTGCCAAGCTTATCCTTTCTTGGCACCTATACCTTCCGCACACAGTTTCCACTCAATTCACCACAGTCCACCTGTAGGGAATCAGAAATCGCTCCAGGTTAGAACGACGAGTTGGGCCCAACATCGGCGGATCGACCGTTCGACCGAGCCATCTCAGGCCAAGCGGCCAATAGAACAAGCTTCTTCCACATGGCGAAGAAAACAAAAATGCCACCCTTTTAAGGTGATCACTCCGCCCACTTTTGAGCGACCCAAAAAAAAGCTGTGCTGGTTTCGGGTTTCGGACATAGAGGTCAGAACACATTGCAAACCACATGGTATGCGGCAGTGTTTCAGGACCAAGGCGGTTGCAACCAAACACCATGGAAGTGACTTAGCCACGGAACTATGGTCTTTCCAGGGGTTTTCGGCCATCGGAGGGAGGGCAGGTGTCCTGCGAGTGTTGGAGGGTAGGACTGGTAGGACCTGCTGCACGTGTTCGACCCTGGTTTCCATGCAATGAAGAGGCCATTCGCCCAGAACAAGAGGAAGAACCACCATATCGAGCAAAGGGCCTCGCTACGAACGGAGCAAGGACGCTACTAGTAGGGGCTCCTGGCCTTGCTCCTATAGTAGCAGTGGACGCCATACTAGTTACTATATAGGAACCAAGGGCATCGCCATGGACCCGTTTTTCGCCGGTCCCAGGTCGCGGGTGTTTTCCGCCGGACCTCCGCTGGAGATCGCTCGTTCAGACCGAGATCGGGAGGTCCCTTCGAGCGGACCTCCCGAGCAGTCCGCCCGCTCGAAAAAGAAAGGTGTACCTTCTTTATAGGGGTTGTTATTTTTTTAGAAGGTACACCTATATGTACAGGATGTACACCTTATAAACCCCTATAGTGGATACCAACCCCCCGCGATGTTGTAGAGGAAATTCCAACACCAAAACACTTCTTTCAGACTTTTTCTATCTGTTCTATCGATCGGTGGGGTGTCCCCAATCCCCAAAACAGGTTGCAGGTGATCCACTGACTGACTAGGTCCAAAATTATATTGGTTGTTACTTCCCAGCTGAGTATTTGGCGGTGCATCGTCAGCCCACTGGCTGGCTAGCGAGCCAGTGGGGGCTACTTGAGGTTAGCGCGAGACCATGAATGGAGATCTTCCGCCTTTTTTCTTGACAGCTTCGTCTCCCCCTCTCTCTCTATCAAGTCGACCGGAACCATCCTTTGATGGCATTGGCCACGGGAGATTTTACCGCGTGGCCAGCCTCCAGCAAACATGCCTTCAAGGATCCAGAGAGTTGCGACGTCAGGACGTCCGCATTTGTGCTCCATGTGAAAACCGAATGACTTCACAAGTCGTGTCTGGCGTTCCCATTCCCAGATGCTGGATTTGGACTGTACATTCATCCCCCTTTTCAACCACCCCAAGTGTACTGTAAATATTCCATACATGGAGGGTCTAGGATTGAGTTCAACATTCAAGGAACTACAGGGAGTATTGGATCAAAGTTTAACATCCTCACCATCTGTCTGAATTGGTCGCTAAACAAAAACGTGTTCAATGTTCAGTCGTGAGTCCTTAAAAAAGAGAGAAGACAAATCACATGCACAAAATCAACTCGATGCATGTTCCAAACTTTGCTAGTCAGGCCCATCGCAATTTATAGCGCTTTGTTCGACACTTAGACATGACTAGACCTCAGCCCATGAGGGGTTCCATGTTCCAGCACCCAACTTCACAGAACCCTCCAAAGGAGATGTCAAGCTCCCGTGTGTCTGAACTTGGCAGAAAGGAGACCTGTAGAGTCGGGTGCTGATTAGCTGTTTGTTCCTAGTAGCAAATTAGCTACTAATAGCGACGTCGCTTGTTACTAGTAGCGATGCCCTTGTTACTAGTAAATTGTTCCTAGTAGTAATGCCAGGAGCTACTAGTAGCGTCCTTGCTCCGTTCGTAGAGTCAATCTGGATCTCTTGAGCCCCGACTTTGGCACCGACTTTCACTGATCGCCCAACTGATCACTCTCCTCTCGGCATCGTCCGATCGCAAAGGCAGACTCGAAACACAAAGTAATGCAATTCAGCATTCTTGTTATTACCTGGACATCCCCGAACCCTCCTCCAAGTAACTTAGGATTACAATGTTACAAGCTTGGTATGTACCTTTTTTAGTACGGTTGCAAATCATTAACTCCGATTGCTTTGATTCGAGCTGACAAAACAATTCTCCGAAATCTACGGTTGAAACGACAGGTGGACGTGGGGTGTTTGCTATCACCAACAAAACAACTCCATGTCCACCTGGTCATGCCATCGCTGGGTCAATATTATCAACATATATATAGCTTGCTTAAACACAACACATTCAAACCCTAGGGATCCAAGTACGCGAAGTGAGCGCCCAGTCGTACGGAACCTGGATCCCATCAGGAAAGAAGGTCACCCCCCGAACCTCCCTCAAACACCTCATGACCACCTGATCACCCCGCACGACCGCTACCAGAGTATGCGAAGAGTTGCGATCCAGCAATCCCACGCGGTCTCGACGAAAATGGCTCATCGACTCGTGAAGGACACCGACCGGGATTGGGTCACTGGGGATGGGTGCGCATCTGAATGCCCATGTGGAGGGATGGGTCGTTCCACTTGCCAATCCTGCATGCAACAGCCGAGCGTCATACCAATACCAAGTGGGTCACCTCTGGATACAACGTCGCAACTGTTGATCTGGTGCCTCATGACCCTATACAAACAAGTACTTGTAGTCATTTTTGCGAGGTATTTCACAGGTCGATTCCAGGACCTCTCCACTTAGTACTCTCCTTCTGCATGAGAAGTCCTAGCCCACTTGAGAGGTCCCGTCCCGTCCCCGTCGTGGGCCTTTGAGGGGAACTTCTCCAAGGAAAGGAACTTGCAGGGAGCTGCAAATGCCTCAGGGTGAAGGCCGTATCGCCATATCAAAAGACCTCTCATGACAGAGGCCGTGCAAATGTCCGACACCTAAGAGGGCTGAGGGCGTTCTTTTCTTAACTTTTCGTGATTAGGTTGGAGGCCATTGCTATTGGGTTGGAGGCCATGGCTATTAGGTAGTACCCTAGGGATCCACGATGGCAAAAGAAGTTACTTGGACCCTCGAAGCCTACATAAAAGTGCCCCCATACCCTACATAGTCTCTGAAAGGGTCTGTGGATTCCAACTGGATTCATACGCTGTGCCATGATGTTGCGTCCATCCGTGCCAAGCTTCGCTGCAGCAAGCGTTGCCACATCTGCCATAGCAACAGCATTTCTGTCAAGACCACCAAATACCAGCAGGCCACTGGCAAGGCAAATCCTGATAGCAAGAAACAAGCTTGGTGGGCACTTAGCGCGGCGTCAATGGCACGTGCATCATCTGAAATCAATGTGCTGTTCAAACACTTCCCCTGTCTTACAAGAAGCAACTTATCAAATATGAATACCCCGGCCATCAATACCCAATCAATCCATATCAACCTACAATGTACTACAATATCTTCAACAATGTACTTTCTACGAAACTGGGTCATGTATGATTTGGGATATGATGTCGGAATCCTATACCTGGGTCTATTGTACTGATGTCTTTATGCCTCAGCCCACCCGTGTCACCATGGCCACCATGCGCCCTGGGAAGGGGGAGGAACTGGAACTCACTCCTTCCTGCGAATTCATCCCCTGCCCCCTGCTGGTCATGCTTCCAAATGAAACACCCCCGAAACTCGGGTCCCGATGCCTCCTTTTCTCAAGGAGGGTAGAAAGAGGGAAACGCAATGTACCATGTATGTGGCCATGTACCATGGGACTGTTCGGTTGACACATTCCCCAACAATCCATGGGACTGGAAAATGGGACTTGACAGTGTCAGACCCCTGAACCACCCATCCATGTACCTGGACCTGAAGGCATTGGTACCCACACAGAAAATGGCACATGACCCGAAGAGATAGGTCTGACCGTCTGACCGTCTCGTGACAGTTCTTGGAGTCCCTTATGTCGAGACCTTTCACCAGCCTCTTTGTGACCAATAGCCTCTTAGAGGTTAAGGGGAGTCGAGTCGATCACTTGTTGGAGGGTGCTGATGTATACCATTTTTTGTACTTGATGTTTGAAAGGGACAAACTCACGGAGTGTGCAGCAAACTCACGGTGGCTGGTGAAGGAAGCAACTGACAAGGTCTGGCCAACGATGGAACTCTTCGTCAAAATACCTTCAAATACACACAAATACCCGGTTGATTGGTGATCATTTTCACTCCAAATTGATGTTATCAATCTTTGGGAAAGTGGGGTGACAGCACTCGGGGGCGAGAATAGTTGCTCCTGAACAGTTTTGGTTTCTCCGCAACATGTTTTGAACGTATTTGAACGTTATTTGATTGCAAAGTAAACGCAACCTGAACGCTGGTTTGTTCCCGACTCAGGAGTGCTTATTCTCATCCAAGATTGATAATATACATGTATATATAACAATTGTTCTATCATATATACAACATGTTTAAACATTGTTACAAACTATACCACAATATAGTACCACACTGACAAATCTATTTCCTAAACGTCATTGATACGTCCATCTTGTGGGAAGTACCAGTTCGTACCCTAGAAAATGGGACAGGTATCCTATATAAAAGACTCTACATTGCTTCACCTATTTCCCGAGGTACTTGGAGACTAATGACATCAACTACAGCTGCTTCAATGTCAATGTAAAAATACCTACCTGGACCGTGGACCCTCCAAAGAACCCTAGACCATGGACATGACCCTATAAAAACAAAAAACCAGGTAGTTGCCCATGTTCTGAGGTACCTTAAGACTCCAGGTATGGATCCAAATACCCTCTGAGAAAGTGAGCAAGGACACTCCTCTATGTATGCGAGAGTCCCAACACCTTCTACTAGAGAAGGTGGCAGTGGATCCCAAGGGATGGAGTTCTGGTCCAATTGTTGGCACTGCATATCACTGCATGTTCGATTACGGTCCAGCCAGCTTCAAAGGGGAACAACGGAGGCTTCGAAGCAAAGCCCCATGAGGCGACGAAGCAAAGGAATAAAGGAGCGAAGGAGCCTCAACAAAAAGAAGGAGGCAGCGTCGTTGCTTCCTAATGACATTCCCTGGAGACTCCAAAGTACCCTGGTCCTATAGAGAACATTGGATATGAAGCTATACTGTAGGTATAGTCTATATTACTTGAGGTATATATTATACATAAAAAAAGAATATTCTCATTTTCCGAGGTACTTTCACAGGTCTCTTTTGTTCAGGTCTTTCCCCCCCTCATTTTCAGCCAAGCTGCCGAAGGCATCGATGGCCACCTGAGGTCGGCCATCGTGACCCGATGACGACCCCAACAGCAACCAGGATCCACTTCTTCGGGGCGAGAAGAGACAAAGCAAAACACATAGAAAGGGGTCATGAAAAACAAACACCCTATCGATTTCATTCTATTCCTATATATATATAATAGATGCAAATCCAGAAAAGAGGAACGACCAAGCAGAAGAATCTCCAAGAGCTATGAGCCTGAATGAGCCTGAAGCATCCAAAGTGTCACATCGTAGGGACTCCAACCCTGAAACCTATATGCCCTGGAAGATTACAGTGGTTTCAGAGTAGATGGCACAATCCCCAAAAGGTGGTTTAGATGGACCCCTATTTAGAACACATCTTGGGGTGCCAGTGCCATCTACTCTGAAACCACTATAACATCGAACTTGAAAACCATGGTGGAAGAAGCTCTTCCCAGGCCCATGCCATGAGGTTCCCATGTGGGTCTCAGCTCTTCCAGGTTAAACTCACCAAGCTCGTCAAGCTCTGACCTTGCCAACGCTGCAGAATGAGGTGCTGAGACCAGGAAGGGCACCATTTCCAGGTGCACCAAGGGCCATGGCACTCGGAACGTGGCCATAAAGCCTCGAAGGAACGAAGGAACCGGAAACGGGGAAGGACTTCCGAACGGGTGGAACGTGTCGTTCTCCCCTTCACGGGGCCGGTGACTTGGCTGCAGTCGTCGGGCCGCACCTGACTGGTTGACCTACCTGGGAGGTCGTTCGCTACATGGACCAGGGCTTCAGGTGTTGACCCATCCCCAATGATCTTTGTATTTTTTTCAGGATGTGCTCAAAGGGTGGCAGTTTCAGTCCTCCACTGCGAGGTCGTTTCGAAGAGACTTTGATCATTGATGAATCCTATCATCCTATCTGCAGACGACACGTGCAAGACGTACGCGCCCGTAGCCAGAACAACACGGTTTGCAGGCGATCCACTTGTCCTGATGTACAGGAAAAAAGGATAAAAAAAAGGTTTGGTGAACGTCTGTCAATCCTCCAGCAAGCCTAGCGAGCCGATACCTTTCACTGTCACTCTCTGCCATTCAAAACCTATTGATCGTGTTTTCTATGTCTGCTACACAGATGTTCGTCTTAGGGTGGTGATCGTGATAACATTGAGGCTTCGTACTGAAGTCTCAAACTCGACAACTGATTGTTGGGTTTGTGGTACCCCTGCAGCTTCGAGTAGACACTGGGCACTCTCATGTTCCAGTGATTCTTGGAATCCTGACATTCAAACACATAAGAGTATATGACCAACAACTTGAAAAATGGAGCACAACATCAAAAAACACATATCTGACAATGAATTATTGTGTTTAAATGTTTTCAACTTGTGATAGTTTGTTTCTTTTCGCTTTCAATTGACCGCCTCCTTCCACACTGCGACGACACTCCGAGGAGCGCATCTTGGTCATCAAGAGGGCCGCATTCATCCCCACCACCTTCGCTGCGAAATCCGCAAGGACGTGGGTGCACCAGTGTCCGGCAAACTTCATGTGCCTCGTGACACATACACCCTAAGGGTCCAGGACCAAGCGGATCGGATGTTCGTGAGCTCCAGTTCGACCTTTATCTGGTTTCTTACGTACTCACCTCTAAGATCTTACCATGCAGTCTGCAGTCATCTTCTCATCCAACATGGAAAACAAAACAAAAACACTACCCTCAAAGACCCCATGCCATACCCCCAGAAAATGGCTTTCTGTGTCCAAGTTTTGCCCTTGGAGCCTCCGAACAGGATGCTGACTGACTCGCGGCTTTTTGACGCCTTGTGCTTCTGCGCGGCCTTTTGAAAGGATGCAGAGCATCAACTTAATGGTGCGCGACTCGTGGGGCCTCTGTGGGCTTTGGGACCTCCCTGAAGGGTCTGCGTTCAGTTCTTCCGTTGTGAACTTCATCAGCTGGGTTGCGATCGTTGGCCACTCAACGACGAGCCCCACGTGACCCACAAACGAACGATTGGCATGGACGTAGTCATAGAGTCATAGTCCAGTTGTTCGGTCGCGAGCGCCATCAGGACTCCATAAAAGGGTCACGAGCGCCGGAGATTTGCTGGTCCGCTGAGTGCACCATGAGGAGGTCGACCTCTCTCCACCTGGGCGTGAGCGGTGATGTATAGCATTGCTGTCAAGCAGCTGCTCCGAGTTACCCTTAATAGTCTTTCTGATCAGCACGTCGAGGATATCTATATAGTCTTTTCAGAAAGTCCATTCAAAGGCCAGAAACATCGCAATTTCTGTGGGATGGGATGGTGATATACCTTAAGTTCCGGTCTTTCAGCTAGTTCTGGATCCCAACCTGATTTTTTGGAACATCCGAACAGCTGCAGGTGGAGTGTTTTCTTTCCGAGTCGGATCAATTCGGGTGAAACACTTGGATGTGTGATCCAAAAACACCCGATGACCCGACGACTTGTTCATACCGAAAATGGGACAATGACTTCATGACTCGGTGAACAGATGTAAAAGATGGACCTGGACCTATAGAATGTATCCCTGGCCTGGGTGGGTCTTGGGGGTCTAACATGGTCTAACCACCTTCTGAGGATATCGTTGGAGCCCTATAGGGTAAAACGCTCTAGATAGGAGGTACGACTGGGCCCTCATATCTCTTATAAGGTACGAACAGGTCCACCCAATAGGCCCCGCGAATCGAGGAGTTGAACAGTCTCATGCGTTGAAAGAACCAGTTCTTGGACGCTCAGTGGTCTCACTCCAGCTTCTGAAACTCGGTCAAAGAGCCTAAGAGGGCGTCTTACATCGTCCTACTTCATCTTGCTTCTCCGTTGGTGAAACTAAACAAGGGAAATGGTTCTGCGGTCTGTGTGTGTGAAACTTACAGGCGAAGCGACATTTGAAGCACCAGCTTTCCCTGTTTGCGGCCGAGCCACGGCGCGAGGATGGCGGTTTTGAAGGCTCTTCACCCGCCCAGTGGGAGTCGGGACAGTGCTGCAGGAAGTCTCCTCCAGCATCCAAACCTGCCACCAGCGTGAATTTCGTTTGTGATTGTTCTGGAGGTCTGTTTAAGTGCTTATTGTATGATGTATGTTTATTAAGTGCATTGAATTTAACATATCCTCAATCAGGCCAGTGCCAAAGCCAACCAAGGCATTCAAAGCTCACTTGGAAGCAAGCAACAAAGATCTGGACAGGCCGATTAGATTTCCCAATCAAAATTGAGGCACCTGGCTGAAGAGTTGCAAACAAGTGAGCTGTTTTGGCTGAAGAGTTGCAAACAAGTGAGCGGTTTTGTTGAACAACCCTGAAACAAACTATGTCATGTATTCCATACATGGAATGTCTCGGCACGTTCAATTCCATTCACTGCTCCAATGTGAACATATGTGAACCATGATCCCACACCTCTACGGCTGGTTCAAGCAAATAGGGGTTGATCACATGTTGATCAAATAGGATCAAATCATCCAAACGGACTTCTGCAGTTTCACCATCGCAGTCTCGCCATTGTTCGTGGCTTCCTGCCCCCCAGTGGACCCGGGCGCTCGACCGACCGACCTGCGCTGCGGGCGCTCGATGCGGTCGACGCCGGCCACGTTGGGGGCGGCGTGCAGCGAGCTTGAGCTGCCGGGGAATCAGGTGGTCAAGTGTAAAGCCCATTGCCACTGGCCCACCTTCCTGAGATCGGAGAAGGTGGCAATGGATGCAAAGGACTCACAGAAATGCAAGTGGGAGAGACTGAGATCAGGGACCAGTGGTGAAAGAGCATCTTTTCGAGCTGGAGACACTTGGTGAAGGTTTTTGTCAAGGCATACGCCACTTGTACTGTCCAGTACCTCATGATGTTTGGGACCGGAAGTCGATCTGGGGATAGTCATCACAAACAGCAAACCCTTCAGTCTGCAACTTGCTCGAGCCTTGAATGACGTGCTGGATGCGATCACTTTGTCTAGTCATCTTCTGGAACCAAATACGGCCATGGGCCTGAACCTTGTATAAAATTGCCATGACAACAAAAATGTTTTATGTACAATATTACAATATACATTAATATACAATGAGTGTTGTGAGAACTCTAGTCCTCCTTTGACCAAAACCTGTTTGTGTGTTCGGTATGGTCCCATCTAGCCACAAAGCACCTCGTCCTCTCCACTCCATCAATCCTTCAGAAGCGCCACAAATCTATCCTCCAACCCTCGGATGCTTACTTCAAGCAGAATCGAAAGCGAAAAAGCAACCTCTGTTGGCCCAGCGTCTCACAAATGCTCAGCATTGCCTTCTGGCAGTCTCTGTCCGCTTCATCGAGCTGTTGGAAGAAGCGTAAGGCCAACCTGCTTATGGAAGGTCAAAGCTGTACAAGGTCTTGCCATCTGGTCTAACAAAGAAGAAATAGATGGAGATCACACCAACAGCGCGCCTGATCTAAGGTAGATCATTCATCATACCAAAATTCAAGACCTCTTGGTACAAACATGTGCTTTCTTATGTGTAACACCTCTGTGTTGCGTTTGAGTACATATCGAAACGGATGAACTATTCGCTGTTTCGACTTCCGAACAGGAGCAAACACTCTGCAAAGCCCGCAAATCATCAGAATCGTCCTGCCAGCGGAAACAGGTCGTTTGGGTGCATAAAAAGTAGGGAGGCCTCCGAATATACTACACCAGTCTACCCATTGGTGACCGGGTCTCCCTCTCGAAAAACGCCGGTCCGCCGGTCTTCAGGTTGGGGTCCAAACGTCCGCGGTCATGCGGTTCGTCCGAGCAGCTGCCACTGCTCGGCACAGGAGCGAATCAGAGCCTCGAAGATCGAACCAGATACCGAGAGACGAGGGGTGTTGTGGGTCAGTGAACTAAACAGGAAAATGGATGGTGACCTCACCCGACAACACTGGGGTAGAAAGGAGGACCATCCGGTCCACCGCGACGGAAGAGCGGTGTCCAAACCAGCCCTACAACCCTACTTGGCAGATCTCCCTATCTAGTACAGATCTATGGTGTTCATTCTCCGGTGTCCACCAGGGTTCCGGGGTGATCCCCCGTCCGCCCGAAGACCGGGAGCTGCCGTGAACACTCCAGGGAACCGTGGCGGTGCGAAGATCGGGATGAAGTGCTGCCTGCCGCATGGTGTGCAAGTAGTGCACCGCCAGCTGCCATTGCCCCTCCTTTTCACAGGAACTCAACAAAGAGTTAAAACCTAGGAAGGCGCAGAAAGGGTCGGTATGGAGTTGTGCTGGCTTCACCACGGCTTGCATCAGCTTTTGTAATATAAGTGACAAAGAACTTGTGAAATATACCATTCATTCATGTATATACTCAGGTGAAATGACAAAGAACTTGTGAAATATACCTTGAAATTCTCACGCGGCCATGTCATGAGGATTTGCCCGACGTTCAAAAGTTGTGTCTCATGAAGATGCCAAAGGTTGTCACCAACGATCTTTGAAACAGTAGATTATACATTGACAAGAGTCATGACCTAAGACTTCGGTATCGAAACAATGGATATATAAACACTGGAGACACAATAATTTTTGAGAGCATAGGAATTTGAGAGCGAACACGCATAGAGGTAAACAACTTCAATGAGATAATAAGATTAGTAAGGTGTACTTAATGAGACAGGACAGGGGCCGATGTTCCTGTGACATGTTCTCTTTCATTAGCTCTAATCTTCCAGGAAGGGGACCCCGGAAAAAAGTGAAAAAAAACGATGATGGCCAAGTCGGAATGGCCTGTGTCATGAGTGCTTGCCAAAGAAATTGTAGGCTTTACAGCTCTACATGACTTAGACCTTTCCTTGGGAGAGTTGTATGTCCCTTCAACGCACTTGGCCTACAGTAAGTCATCTGACCTTTATAATACATAATGTATCACAATATACTATATATATATACCTGGACCCTCCAAGGGGTGTCCAATGGACTACCCCACACTACCTATAGGCTTCCATTGGGCACCTTGGAGGGTCCTGGTATACACCAGCACCACGGAGTTGGGGTAGTTTATAGACATCCCTGACTGAGTATATGGTTTTCCTATTGTTTTCCCATCTTTTCCCTCCAGGCACCTTCCTTTCAGTGGTGCTTGTACTCATTCTTTGAGGTATGAACAGGTCGACTCCAGGTATATATTCCTCCTCATCAGGTAGGGTGTCCCTCCCACCAGCAGTTCACTGGTCCCAACCTTCTCCCGGCCCCCAAAGTCTGCAAGTGGCTGATGCGCGTGGGTCTCAGCGATGTACGTTGCATCTCCAGGTACCTCGGTTGAGTTGGGTGATCGCTGCTGTGGTGCCCTAGTGCTGTGGTACGTATGATCAACTCCACACAAAAAAATGAGGTCCAACTGACCGGTGTTTCTGTTGTTGCATCCACAAGCCGAGCTATCTGCTGCAGAACGGGTTGAAACTTACGAGCCTTGCAGCAGCATTGTATTCCAAAGGTATCATCGGGAGGAGGGGCGAGCAAACAAACATAACGAGGGAGG